CCGATTGGGTGACGTCAGTATCCATCACGCGACCGCCGTCCTTCCCGCGGCAAAAAATAAACACAGAGAGGGGCCGGAGGCGGTGGGGACCACGTGGCCCCGCTACGATTGGCTGAGCGGCGCGGGGGCGGGACCGAGGACGCGGCAGAGGCGGTGGTGAACAGGGCCCTCTCGAGATGTCAGTCAGGGGAGAGGGAAGGTGGAGCGGGAGGCGGGAAAAGAAGAGCTGTCCCCAGCGAACTCCCCAGTCTATAGCGAATGTGACGTTTATGGTATGAGTAGTATTAATTGGTTAGCCTGGGGTCACCTTGGGGTCGGCTCCCCCAGGTTTCCGCTCCCCCCAGCCTCTGCACGTATTTATCTCAAGAAAGGCCTTGAACACTACGGCAGCCTGCATACCAGTATTAGCTGAAACCTATAACAACATTTTATCACTTTGTTCCCATGAAACAAAGTGTTGCATTCCTTACAAAACTGCTGTTTTTCTCGACAGAAAACTGACTCTAAAAGTCAGTGCCAGTAAACCAGGCCACTATACAATCACAGTACACATTGTTATGCCTTAAGCTCAGGAGTTGCTCAAAAATACAAAAATTTGTGGCATGGCTAAAACTTGACAGTGAGTCCTGAGCTTTAGGGGTCTCCCAGGCTTTAGACACACTTGTCCCACAGAGCTCTGGCTTTCCTTGTCAGCCCATACAGCCTCGTGTGTTATGCAGAGTCTGGTGGTTGGAGCATGGCCAGTGCCCAGGAGACGGGAGGCCTCTTCCCGTGACTGCAGCTGGGGAAGGGACCATAGCCACAATGTGATGAAAACTGTTGGCTCTGGCAGTAATCCTGACCAGAAGATCATTGCATGTGAAGGAGTCAGCAGACCATGTAAGAGTTAAACCACTGAACACCCAGTGTGGTTTTTGGGCCTGTGCTGCACAAATCCCTTGTCTGCAGGACAACCTGAGCTCACTGTAAGGGAGGAAAGTGCAGGCAGCTCCCCCTCCATACCAATAATTTCACCACCTGCAAGGCCTTGCTCTTATCTAGAAATGCAGCAAGAAGTTTTCATGTGAACATCCGCTCTGTTTGACAGTAGAAGTGATGAATGGAATTGTTTTCCTCCAAGAAAATCTTACAATAGCCAAATTAATGAGGTAACCCTTTCTGCAGGCAGGGTCTGTTGTAGTCAAGAAAACATTTTTATTTATTAAAGTAGCTAAAATAGTTAAAGTAGGTATTCAATTAAACTGCAAAGTAGGTATTCACTTAAACTGCGAAGTTAAAATTAAAAACATATGTGCATGAGTGCTTAGACAAGGTGTGTACCAGGGAGTGCCGGAGGGGAGAGGAGCTTCTGAGGTGGTAAAAAACGCTGATGGTATTCCAGGTACAAGAGAAGAGGCTGGATCCTTGGTACCGTGGTCTCCCAGGTACGTACCAAATGTAGGATAGATGTGATAAGGCAAGGATTGGGTAATAACTCTTCTTTTCTCACTTTTGTATGCCAAGAAATTAGGTGGAGGTGGGCTTTATAGTAGATCAATACCTTGTATGGATACTGTGATAGTGGGGAACCAGTCATGGTAAAGGGCAAATTAGAAAGCAGACATTTTATGCATACTTGTATAATCTTGTGAAATTGCTTTGTTAAAGATGTATAAATGAGCTGTGAAAATGTATGGACCTTGGAACACAATTAGAGCAGTGATCCTTTGTGTTTCCCCAGCGCTGCAAATAAAGAAGCACCTGCTTCTTCTTTACCTATGCTACCGCATAGGTAAGTTTTTCTCGTCGTGTTTGCGACCCCATCAACAGGTCTGCATGGGGAGCTACACATGCCCTCGAGACCCATTCAATTTTGCACAGCTCGAGGTTCCCAGCATCAAAAGGCACCTAAGATTATCTGTACTATTCTCTCTTTGTTTATGATGCCATCTCCAAGAAGAGACGCCTGTTTATGGTACCATCTCCAAGAAAAGAGCACCTCCTAGTGAAAAAAACAGCTCTTCATGGTATTTCCCAAAGTACAGAAAGCGCCACTTCACTCAGGCAAGCTGCAAATGGAGCTTCAGAGAAATAAAAGCTTCTCCGGGAGGGCAGTGTTGCTGCAGTGCCTTGTCAGGGTGGTGTAGTGGGTGCGTCACTGTGTAAAACACCACAATATATTCATGTCAGTTATGAGTAGCTTGTAGCTGCAATGCCAAGAAATGGACATCATGCCAGTTGAAGGTGCTATAATATTAGCACCTCTTTATATAATGTAATGTGACTTCAGCGACTTCTCATCCTCTTCATGTCATGTTTGTGATGATACATTAATTGCAAAATGTTGACAGCAATCAGTAAAGCAGTTTTCACTTTGCAGAAGGAAGTTGCAGTACCCTCAGGCATGAAAGATCACCACAAAAGGACTTCAGATCCTCCTTGGCAAAATGACCTGGGCGGAGGCCAGCAGTCCTGCCCTGCCACCTTCCTGGCCATGGCTTCCTGAGCCTTCTGGTTGCAGTGACAGCTACCTTTTTAAGATCCCAAAGAGGAAAGCTGCTATATTTAGCCATCAATGCTAAGAAATTTCAGAAGGCAAGAATTAGTTTCTTAGAAACACATGAAACTGAAAGAGCCCCACAGTCACTAAGAAACGTAGTGAGTTTTCCCCTTAGAGATATAAAGGACCATTAAATTAAAAAGAAAAAAAAAAGTAGTAGAAGAACTACAATCTTATCAAAACCTTTCCTACTGCTGAGAAGAGGTGGCCCAAGTGCCAGTAAACAATATGGACTCTGAATTCTTTGATTTTGATTATAAAATCTATTTTTATTAAATGCAAAGATCTGTCTAGTTTTGAGTCTGATAATCTCAATCTACTATATTGTACACCATTTACCATTTACAAGTTTTACCCACTTACTGTCTGCAGCATGTACTTTCTATTCTGACTCAAATGTATTAAGAAGCCCAGAAAACAGTTTTTAAATTTATTTGTAATTTGTTAGTGACTCACCCAAAGTCAACATTGCTTTATTTGGCTTGAAAAGAAAGTATTAAGAAATAGTAAATAAGGTTTAAGAAAGAATTGGAGCATGGGATTGTAGCATAGGGGAAACAAGCAAATCCTGGTTGACACTATCTTCTCCTTTACTAAAGAAGAACCCAAGACTATACCCTGTAACATGAAGCAAGGCTACAAAAAAGCAGAAACCCGCTACACTGGAGAAGGGACTGAAGAGTGATGAAATCAACTTAAAAGACTAAAAATATTTGGGATTCAGACTGCAGCTCAAGCAGAATAGGAGGTTAAAAGATGAGGACTGTTTGAGCAAAAAAGCCTGATTATTTTTGGTTTTTAAAGACAAGCAAGTTCAGCAGCATTCCAGTAAGTAACAGGATTTTTTCTGTGCTAGTACTTCTTTAAAATTCCCTGCAATAAGCAGGGTTTTTTTTTCCATAGGTGATATTCCAGTCTCTGGAAATGTCTTCTCATTTGCCCTTAAATCATTTTCCTTGATGTACACATTAATGGGAAATGGTATCTTTCACCCTTCTTACAGTTTTTACTGCCAAACAGCAGCAAAGTTTATGACAGTTTCTTACAGCTGTCTCCAGTTGGCTAGAAAGAGATAACTGAAAGAATGCAAACCAAATAACCTTGGTTCACAAACTCTGCTGCTTCTCAGCTTGTCTCGACAAACACCCCGAGTGCCCAGGTAGTTCTTTTAACCCTTGCTGTTGCTGAATACGGACCTGCTCATCTTGCAGTGAAATTTCATGCAGCTTTAGGTTACAGAATAAAATATTATCACAAAATTTGTGCTACGATGGTTGGCTGTATGTCAATACCAAAAGCAATAGCACTGCCACTGCTGATATATTACTAAACCCATTTACAGAGAAGGAGTTGCTCCAAGTTAATGCAGTGCCTACCTACCTACCTAAAAAAAAACCAAAACAACCCACTCAAAGACACAAAAAAGCATCAGACTCATGTTCCAGTGAAATCAAATGATCCCATATATAAGTCAAGACAGTTACCACTGCTCATTTGGCACAGGATAAGTTGTTAAGCTACAGTAATTATATTCTGAGTCATTATGTCACGGTTCAGGGCAGAGTGAAAATGTGCTTCCATGAGTAGAAGAGTTGCTCAAGACTGTGTGTTGCATGCCTTTATACGTTGCCTCGGGCATATACGTATTGCAAGAGGAGATTTTGCTAGAAAATACTGCCCCAATTAAGAATGTTCACCCTAGTTTATAGTGCATTTTTACGAGTTCTGAAGGAAACCAGGTTCTGGAAGCTTATGATGAGAAAATAACTATGAAGTCCATATGCTATGTATTTATATTCCCTCATCATACCCTGTATATGCAGCCCTGTCAGCTAAGGAATTATTATTGAATCCACTTTATAGGATCCTGGAGCACCCAGAGGAGCTGGGTCATCCTGGTTTCACTGGGATAGAATCATAGGTTCAGTTTTCTGTTCAGTTTTGAGAAGACTGCAGCACCAGATTCAGTGGGAGCAAAGTTGATAAGCTCCTTTGTTTTAGTTTGTGGCCAGCCCAGGCATGCAGGTTGCCATAGTGACCAAGGCCTTCAGCACTCTCCAGTTAGCCAGATGCAAAAGCTATGAGAAACAAAAGCCAGGGCAGATGTCCCAAGCTGGCCAACCAAAGTATTGCATCCCATAAACAATATGCTCACTATAATTTGGAAAGTTTGCTGAGGTTGACCCTGTTTCATTGATGGTCATCATCCCTGGAG